ATCATTACTTTCTTAAAGGGAAGTATAAAAAATAAATAAATAAAATATTAGTTGAACATTTTTATTTGGCCTTACTGTTATTAGCCCATACAAACGCATTGAATAACAGATAATCCCCCCCACAAAATCAAAAGGAAGTTTGTTCTGAAGTCTATTCTATATCAGAGATTAGTGTGTAGCCCAAACTGTTCGGTCGCTACAGATGGCAGATCGGCTGTAACGACTTCAGACGTGTCCCAAGAAGCTTGTGGGTGTTGTAGAGCAAAACTGAGAACACCATCGTGTTCGTGAGAGTCTCATCTTTCCATAGAGGGGTCATAATAGTTTGTAGACCAAACCAACAATTTTGTGAGAAGACCGACGAATGTGAGAAGACCGAGAAGATCGGGATGTCTTATGGTCTGACAAACACTGCTCTAGCTCTGTCACCTTTCACCACAGATGTAGAAGTGTTACATAAGCGGATGCGGTGGATTGAGACGCATCCCATGCAAAAAAACATATCTCTAAACTGTCTGACATATGGGGATTTGTATTTAAAAAAAAATGCTAATTAGATTTCAGCAGGGGCGCAGACATCGACCTTAGGGGGGTTAACGTGAAGCAGAGAAGTTGATCATAAATTGATGCTTATCAACAGAACTGCAGCAGATTTTATGATATTTTAGACCATCATCAAGGGACTAAATAAGGTGAGACAAGCACCCCCCCCAGCACCTCAATGCTAGCGTTATATGCACAAATATTGGGTATAGGCTGTCGTTATTCTTGTTAATCACAGTGATAAGCAAGTTAGACACTGAAGTAGGGAATATGGTGAATTGTCGTCTAATTTCTTTGTTTGATTTCTCGATAGCCATCAGTTTGCTTGCCTGTTAGCCATGAATGTAGACAACTTTATGTCAACTGGTGTGATTGCTAACCTTTAAAACAGTCACACACAGCAGCTTATCATAAGCAAAATAACACATGGAACATCTTATATTGCTGAAAATGGGCTTTATTGTAACTTTTATATAATTACAAACTCCCCATCCTGTAGATTACTGTCAATATCAAGACAATCAAAAACAAAAAAACATAGGAATGTATTTTTCACCACCAGGATCTAAATTTGCTTGCTATTGTGACCTCTCGTATTCTTTCCATCTTTGCTATGCAATCAAAGAATGGTTGCTATGCAGGCTTCCGCTAACATTCTTGTCAATTGTCAACGTGCTAGCCATCGACAGCAAACAAAATCAGTCAAACTACCTGCATTTTGGTTTGCTTTAGCTGTTTTCTATTGACATTTATTTGGATATATTCACATGGCTGGAATGCAAACTACCTGGTTTATAAAATTAAATACGATATAGCCTACAGCCCAGTCCTACGAGTGTGTTAAACGTTCCAATCTTACAACACTGAATCAAAGAAAACAAACTACCTCTCTGTTTGATACTCCCTTCGTTTCACCAGTACTCTTCTTTACAGTAGTAGATAAAATAACACTGTTAAAACCACTGTAGTTATGACTATGGGTTTTGAGTTTCCTATCTGTCACATTGAAAAGGACATTATGCCATGACAGTGATTCTGAAATGATACCATACTCCTCATATAGTTCACCAATGCTAGATTCACTCTATAGGACTGACCCAAATCGTACTGCTCTGACTCTGCTTTCAATTTCCCTATTGTCCTTTCCAGCATGGTTCCAACAATTATGGCGGATCTGTAACCAGTTTCTGCTCGTTAGTGTGAAAACATTAATAGTCCACCATATGGAGAAAAGGGTGTGCTATGAGACGCAGCTAAACTCAGAACAAGGGGAAAGAGGGAGGGATAGAGAAATAAAGAGAAAGAGAATGAGTCTGACCTCCAGATGACGTCGTAGACGGGGTCGAGACAGAGGCCGAAGCCCTGCAGGTCCTCCTGCTCTGAGTCATTGAAGGTGCGGCAGCTGCCATCCAGCTTGTTGATTAGCAGGCATTTGAAGGGGGGGGGCTCCGACACCGAGGTGGGGACTAAGCCTGGTCGGACACAGAGAAGAGAGGTTCATTAAAGGCACAGTGCAGTCAAAAACGTGATTTTCCTGTGTTTTATATACATTATGAGGTTGGAATAAAATTGTGAAATTGTGAAAATGATGATAATGCCCTTTTAGCGCAAGAGCAGTTTGATGGGATGGAGTTTTTGTCTGCCTGGTGACATCAGCAGGCGGTAAATTAGTTTATAGACCAATAAGAAAGAGCGGTTCAAACCTCCATGCCGATAAGAGCTAGTTTTTAGTTTTCCCCTCCCCAATCAATCAGTCCTAGAAAAATCTTTGTTTGAGAAATTGCCCTTTGCTAATAAGCTTTTTTCGTTTCTTTTTGACCATTTTAATTGAAAACAATCACAGTAAGGTACTTCATTATTGCCCAGAAATTATTTGATATTGAAATAAAAACGGCTGCATTGGACCTTTAAAAGTGGAACTGACAGCATTACAGCTACTTTGCAGATATGAAACAATCATATCAGTCAAAAATATCAAATTCACAGTTGATACTACAAAACCAACTTTATAAGAGGTTTTAAAAATAGGTTCTATTTGACTCAACATTCCATGACGTACACTAAGGCATTGTTGGCAGAAATGCCTTAGTGTACGTCAAATAGAAATAAAAACAAACGCAACAATTTACAGTTCATATAAGCAAATCAGTCAATTTAATAAAATGCATTACCCCTAATCTATGGACTTCACATGACTGGGCAGGGGCACAACCACTTGGGAGCCAGGCCCAGCCAATCAGAATTAGTTTTTCCCCACAAAAGGGCTTTAATACAGAAATAAATACTCCTCAGTTTCATCAGCTGTCCGGGTGGCTGGTCTTAGATGATCCTACAGGTGAAGAAGCTGGATGTGGAGGTCCTAGGCTGGAGTGGTTACACGTGGTCTGCGGTTGTGAGGCTGGTTGGACGTACTGCCAAATTCTCTAAAACTACGTTGGAGGTGGCTTATGGTAGAGAAATGAACATTCAATTCTCTGGCAACAGCTCTGGTGGACATTCCTGCAGTCAGCATGCCAATTGCACACTCCCTCAAAACTTGAGACATCTGCAGCATTGTGTTGTGTGACAAAAACGCACATTTTAGAGTGGCCTCTTATTGTCTCCAGCACAAGGTGCACCTGTGTAATGATCATGCTGTTTAATCAGCTTCTTGATATGCCACACCTGTCAGGTGGATAGATTATCTTGGCAAAGGAGAAATGCTCACTAAAAGGGATGTAAACTAATTTGTACATTTGAGAGAAATACGCTTTTTATGCACATGGAACATTTCTGAGATCTTTTATTTAAGCTCATGAAACATGGGACCAACATGGGACATGTTGCGTTTATATTTTTGCTATGTAGCAAGCTAAAAACACGGAGCCTAACGTTAGCTAGATAGCTAGCTGCCAGGAGGATGTCATGTAATGTCATTGGAGGAGTGGGTGAGTGACTGACTTTTCCCCCATCATTGTTTTTCTGTGGCAATACACAGCTAGAGATGCAGGTGTCATTTGGTTAGCTAGCAAGAACTTGAACAAATGTTATCCAGTTAGCATATCTCTTGCGTTAGCAAATTCACTCTGGCTATCTGCTTCACTCTGGCTATCTGTGCCAGAGCGCAGAACAACTGATGAATTTACGAACGCGTAACACCCACTAGATATGACAGGTGTCAGTAAACGTAGACAAAAAAAAGTAAGTTAGTCACGAACACTGTAGATAACATGTAAACAGCCTAACCAGCTCTGCTACGGCGAGTAAAATGGTCAGTGTGGTGTTCTCTCATTTGTGTCTGGAAGAAGCTAGCTAGCAAGCTAGCCAACTTTAGCCAGTTAGCTTGGGTGCTTGGTTGGGACAAGAACGCTGCAGAAGGACGAGTAGGCTACAATTCCCCATCGTTTATCAGTGCAATTTTGACGGGCAACTAGCTGAAAAAGTTTGAGAGGGTTTATCTAATGTACCTTCATTAGATTTGAGTTAATCTTGCTCTGGCTAGCATTAGTTGTTGATCTTGTTATTGTTGATGTGCATAACTGAGAGAGAGAGAGCCTACCTTTTCATGGTTGTTTGATCAATAGGACTGCAAAGTTCCCAAATGTAAGCGTTCTAATAATCTAAAGTTGTGCTGTTGCAACTGCCTGTAAACACACAGTCCAGTTCAAAGTGAATGATGGCAGTCCTGTGCGGCAAATGGCTTGTTTGCATAAAGGACTACTGTAGCTGATTGGCTAAGGCGCACCGGTCTGAGTAGACTCCGGTCTTGGGCGAGACCGATGCTTTTATTACGTTTTAATTACTGCAGTGTCTATTAATTGTCCAAACGCACGGCCACTTTCCCACTCTATATTGCTATAGAATTTTCACAAATGCCTTATTATACGTAATTCCCAAACACTAAGAATTTATGAAAACGTGAAAATGGCCATATCTAAGTGCTCACTTGTCAGAAAATGTTTTTAAAAGTGTCATTCTTCCTGGGGGTGTATATAAACAGATTTTAGTAAGATTTCATGTTGCTAAAATGCTGTCAGTTCCACTTTGAAGGCTAATGCGCTTTTTCGTTGAGGTACATTTTTAAGGCAAGCTAAAATGGCATAGGGGATAGTTAATTGTTTAATCTACATTTTTTTTGCAATTTCTTCACACAAAATATGACATTTCCACATAGAGGTTTTTGAGTAAAGGACCAACCCTAAGTTGAATGTGAATCCCACATTTATGTCAATGGAAGTTTTGCTAGAAAAGTGTCTCCGAGTAGCAGTGCTATTCTAGAATCAGGTCCCCCCTGTCCATGTAATCTTACTAATTAAGATCTAGAAGGCCAAACTCCTAGATCAGCATTACTAATTTGAGACACTTTATGAATATAAGTCCTGATCTCAGTTTCAGGTTAGGACCTCAGTGAGCAGAGGGTGTGCACACTTACCAATGATGTGTTTGCTAGCAAAGATCTCAGAGGTAGCAAGGACGTGCGAGTTAATCAGGGCCTCGTCGATCCTCAGGAAGGTCTGGTCGCCGCTGGCCCCGATCCAGGTGGCCTTGCGGCCATACTTGGCACCAATGTTGGGCATGGGGGAAGGCTTGGCGTTCCAGTAGGGCATGTCCAGGATTGGCCGACCCAGCTGCCCTTTCTGTGGAGACATGTATAACATTTTAGTAATTACGTTTCAGTCATTTAGTCAGGTCAGTCATCCCATATAGAACTGTTTACAAATCACTGCATTCAACAAAAGTAGGTAAAACAACCAGGATCTGACAAGACAAAGAAGAGAAGTCAGTATCCTCATTCTGTGGTCACCTGCATTTCAAATACGATACAATATTCATCTCTATGCATTCAATAAGAGTGTGTATGGACTTCAGTAAATAATAGAATAAGGCAATGGACAATGGGTATGGCATTGTGTTTTTAAGTAATATTGCACTCTGAGAAAAAAAAAAAAAAAAAAGATGTGACCATTACAACAAGGTCAATAAGGAAAATTAATGATTCTGGTTGGGGTTAGATACAATGAAATGGTATTAGGTTCCCTGTAGCTCAGTTGGTAGAGCATGGCGCTTGCAACGCCAGGGTTGTGGGTTCGTTTCCCACGGGGGGCCAGTATGAAAATGTATGCACTCACTAACTGTAAGTCGCTCTGGATAAGAGTGTCTGCTAAATGACTAAAATGTAATATTAGTTAATTAGGAAAACAATGTCTGAGATCAAATCACATCTGTGAAAAAATAGAAGAGAACAGCTGCGTGGCGTACCGAGAAGCTGCCGAAGGTGAAGACCTGTCCATCCATGAGGAGCACAGCCGTGTGGTTACTACCAGCTGTCACCTGGATACTCGGACCTGGGAGGGCCTGCACCAGTGTGGGAGAGCCCCTACACAGACACAGAGAGAGAGAGGGGAGGGGAGGGGAAATAAAGAGATAATTAATTACCCAGGTTCAAGGACAGACTTTACCACCAAACTGTGAGGCTAAACATCAAGGGACCAGGGTTGTCATGATACCAGTATCGTGGCAAGGAAACAAAACATGAAGCGGACAAAATTTTCTGAACAGTCCTAATGATGGAAACATTATGTGGCGTCGGACATTTGACTGGCAGCATTTGAATTTACCGGACATGTAAGAAATTTACCATACATAGGTGGCGCGTCAATAAGGCTAGTGGAAGCTAAGCCCTCCCTAAAGTAAATTGAAATAAATTGCCAAAATTATACAGCCTAATTAGCTTACTCTTGTCTATACATAAATAAATAAAATCATTCAAAATAGGCTACTTCACCGAAAAGCATGATTTGGCCACAGAGGATTATTAGCTTAATTTGTTTATATATATTTTTTTAATAAAACCTGCGGATTGTTTTAAATCGCATAGCCTGCAGTCTGAAAGGCCCGCAATTTGGGCAGAGTGCGCAGCAAATACCAAATAGATGATTGTTAAGTTGACACTGTCATTGAAAAGCAGAGAGACCCAGCCAGGCATATCGCAATATTTTAAAGTAAAATCGCAGAAAAACAAATGGCTATTGCTGTAAAGAGAAGGCAATGAAAATAATCCAATCTGTGTTTTAGTTATCAGAATTCTGAATTTAATTGAAAGAAAAGTAGCCTTCTTATTAGCACCAGTGGAGAACATCGGCCATATCCCCTGTGAGTGTGCATATTCACTGTCTTGGGTCTGTGCCACTTTTGTTTGTTTTTGGACAATAATTTCCTCCTCCAGGTTAGATGGACATCATATTGTATTTGTGTCTCCCCTTTTCGTAGGCCTAATATATGGATCAGACAACGTTGTTTTTATTGATCTGTTTGCCAGTGTCAGCAGAGTAGGCTACCCTGTAATTTTTGTTGTATAAAAAAAAGATTATGCAAATGTCTCCAGTCATATAAAGTGTAGTAGAATTGCATTAAATGTGTTTATAAAAGGCCAACATTTTCCAGCGCAAAGAAAGGAGAAGTGAGAAATATAGGCTGATATAGCCTAGGCCTACTCTAACATGCTGACTAGACCGGGCGCGCACGTGCGCCATCGCGCGCATGTTGATTTTGTCCGCCGACACCAGACGCGATCAGGACACGCAGGTTGAAATATCAAAATGAACTCTGGGCCACTATATTAATTTGGGGACAGGTTGAAAAGCATTGAACATTTATGGCAACTTAGCTAGCTTGCTGTTGCTAGCTAATTTGCCCTAGGATATAAACATTGGGTTGTAATTTTACCTGAAATGCACAAGGTCCTCTACTCAATTAATCCACAGATAAAAGGGTAAACCTTCTTTGTTTCTAGTAATATCTCCTCCTTCAGGCTTCTTCTTTGGACATTATATGGCGGTTGGCAACCAACTTTGAGGTTGGACCTCAGTTCATCTTTCAATCACCCACGTGGGTATATGCTCCTAAAAACCAATGAGGAGAAGGGAGAGCCGGGACTTGCAGCGCGTCAAGCTTCACAAATATAACCAAGTTCTATTTTAGCGCCTGGCTACGCAGACGCTCGTTGACGCGCACGAGCAGTGTGGATGCAATGATTGAATAACATGTATGTGTACATTTATTTTGTAACACACGCGCTGCATTGAACAGTCTATTGCGAAGAGTGATTGAGTTATATTATAATCCTAAATTATGACTATCCAATCTAATCATCACATTAGGAATAGTAGGCTATCTTACATAACTCTGCACATGTGATGGTGCATGGAATGCTTTATTATAAAGGTGAACTGTTATGGTGAAAATTAGCTTCCCAAAACTTGAAAAACACGTTAGAATAACTGCCCACATTTACTTTTTCTCAGCAAACAAGATTTGGTATTTGGTATTTGATTAGGATCCCCATTAGCTGTTGCAAAAGCAGCAGCTACTTTTCCTGGGGTCCACACAAAACATGAAACATTACATAATACAGAACATTAATAGACAAGAACAGCTCAAGGACAGAACTACATACATTTTCTTTTAAAGGCAAACGTAGCCTACATCTCAATACATACACACAAACTATCTAGGTCAAATAGGGGAGAGGCGTTGTGCCGTGAGGTGTTGCTTTATCTGTTTTTTAAAACCAGGTTTGCTGTTTATTTGAGCAATATGAGATGGAACGGAGTTCCATGCAATAATGGCTCTATATAATACTGTACGCTTTCTTGAATTTGTTCTGGATTTGGGGACTGTGAAAAGACCCCTGGTGGCACGTCTGGTGGGGTAAGTGTGTGTGTCAGAGCGGTGTGTAAGTTGACTATGCAAACAATTTGGGATTTTCAACACATTCATGTTTCTTATTAAAATAAGAAGTGATGCAGTCAGTCTCTCCTCAACTCTTAGCCAAGAGAGACTAGCATGCATAGTATTTATATCAGCCCTCTGACTACAATGAAGAGCAAGACGTGCCGCTCTGTTTTGGGCCAGCTGCAGCTTAACTAGGTCTTTCCTTGCAGCACTGGACAACACGACTGGACAATAATCAAGATTAGACAAATCTAGAGCCTGCAGAACTTGCTTTTTTGGAGTGTGGTGTCAAAAAAGCAGAGCATCTCTTTATTACGGACAGACCTCTTCCCATCTTTACAGACACTGAATCTATATGTTTTCACCATGATAGTTTACAATCTAAGGTAACGCCAAGTAATTTAGTCTCAACTTGTTCAACAGCCACACCATTCATTACCAGATTCAGCTGAGGTCTACAATTTAGGGAATGATTTGCACCAAATACAGATGAGTAACAAACAGCAAAATCACTAGCCTACAGTGAGGGAAAAAAGTATTTGATCCCCTGCTGATTTTGTACGTTTGCCCACTGACAGACATGATCAGAAAAAAAAACACATGTCAAAAATGTTATAAATTGATTTGCATTTTAATGAGGGAAATAAGTATTTGACCCGTCTGTAAAACATGACTTAGTACTTGGTGGCTAAACCCTTGTTGGCAATCACAGAGGTCAGACGTTTCTTGTAGTTGGCCACCAGGTTTTCACACATCTCAGGAGGGATTTTTTTCCACTCCTCTTTGCAGATCTTCTCCAAGTCATTAAGGTTTCGAGCCTGACGTTTGGCAACTCGAACCTTCAGCTCCCTCCACAGATTTTCTATGGGATTAAGGTCTGGAGACTGGCTAGGCCACTCCAGGACCTTAATATGCTTCTTCTTGAGCCACTCCTTTGTTGCCTTGGCCGTGTGTTTTGGGTCATTGTCATGCTGGAATACCCATCCACGACCCATTTTCAACGCCCTGGCTGAGGGAAGGAGGTTCTCACCCAAGATTTGACGGTACATGGCCCCGTCCATCGTCCCTTTGATGCGCTAAAGTTGTCCTGTCCCCTTAGCAGAAAAACACCCCCAACGCATAATGTTTCCACCTCCATGTATGACGGTGGAGATGGTGTTCTTTAGGTCATAGGCAGCATTCATCCTCCTCCAAACACGGCGAGTTGAGGCCAAAGAGCTCCATTTTGGTCTCATCTGAACACAACACTTTCACCCAGTTCTCCTCTGAATCAGTCAGATGTTCATTGGCAAACTTCAGACGGGCATGTGTATGTGCTTTCTTGAGCAGGGGGACCTTGCGGGCGCTGCAGGATTTCAGCCCTTCACAGCGTAGTGTGTTACCAATTGTTTTCTTGGTGACTATGGTCCCAGCTGCCTTGAGATCATTGACAAGATCCTCCCGTGTAGTTCTGGGCTGATTCCTCACCGTTCTCATGATCATTGCAACTCCACGAGGTGAGATCTTGCATGGAGCCCCAGGCCGAGGGAGATTGACAGTTATTTTGTGTTTCTTCCATTTGCGAATAATCGCACCAACTGTTGTCACCTTCTCACCAAGCTGCTTGGCAATGGGCCCATTCCAGCCTTGTGTAGGTCTATAATCTTGTCACTGACATCCTTGGAGAGCTCTTTGGTCTTGGCCATGGTGGAGAGTTTGGAATCTGATTGATTGATTGCTTCTGTGGACAGGTGCCTTTTATACAGTTAACAAACGGAGATTAGGAGCACTCCCTTTAAGTGTGTGCGCCTAATCTCAGCTCGTTACCTGTATAAAAGACACCTGGGAGCCAGAAATCTTTCTGATTGAGAGGGGGTCAAATACTTATTTCCCTCATTAAAATGCTAATCAATTTATAACATTTTTGACATGCGTTTTTTCTGGATTTTGTTGTTGTTATTCTGTCTCTTACTGTTCAAATAAACCTACCATTAAAATTATAGACTGATAATTTATTTGTCAGTGGGCAAACGTACAAAATCAGCAGGGGATCAAATAGTTTTTTCCCCTCACTATATGTCGATCTACTATCCCCCATAGTAGAAAAGTTTACCTATTCTATTGGTCAGCTTGTCGTTCTGTGTGAGAAATAAATAGCCAATTCCAAACAGACTCTGGGACAGAGGTGGGACGATAGATCCCAAATTCATACAACCAGTAGGCCTAGGCTACATCCAAAAACGTTTTAAAAAGCAATGAGGCTCATGCAACAGATCAAAATGTTTAGCATAAAATGTTGATAGGCCTACACTATTATTTATTCATATTATAAGCATAGCAATGTGCACAAGTCAGTAGGCTACGTGCGAATGTTCGTTCCATAATGCAATTAGCGGGAAACACACCATTGTGAGCGGTTTCATGTGACAGAGAATTTAGAGAGAGTTGAGATCCAAATATGCTAGCTAAATTTCTTCACTATTTCTTGAACTGCATTGTTGGTTAAGGGTTTGTAACTAAGCATTTCACGGTAAGGTCTACACCTGATGTATTCGACACGTGACAAATAAAATTTGATTCGGCCATTTCAGCCACACCCGTTGCTGACAGGTGTATAAAATCAAGCACACAGCCATGCAATCTCCATAGACAAACACTGGCAGTAGAATGGCCTGTAACGAAGAGCTCAGTGACTTTCAAGGGTGCACCGGCATAGGATTCCACCTTTCCAACAAGTCAGTTCGTCAAATTTCTGCCCTGCTAGAGCTGTTATTGTGAAGTGGAAACGTCTAGGAGCAACAACGGCATAGCCGCGAAGTGGTAGGCCACACAAGCTCACCAAACAGGACCGCCGAGTGCTGAAGAGATTTTTAAAAAATCTGTCCTCGGTTGCAACACTCACTACCGAGTTCCAAACTGCCTCTGGAAGCAACATCTGCAAAATAACTGTTCGTCAGGAGCTTCATGAAATGGGTTACCATAGCCCAGCAGCCGCACACAAACCTAAGTTCACCATGTGCAATGCCAAGCGTCGGCTGGAGTGGTGTAAAGCTCGCCGCCATTGGACTCTGGAGCAGTGGAAACGCGTTCTCTGGAGTGATGAATCACGCTTCACCATCTGGCAGTCTGACGGATGAATCTGGGTTTGGCGAATGCCAGGAGAATGCTGCCTGCCCCAATGCATAGTGCCAACTGTAAAGTTTGGTGGAGGAGGAACAATGGTCTGGGGCTGTTTTTCATGGTTTGGGCTAAGCCCCTTAGTTCCAGTGAACTAAGGGGCCTAGGTCACCTCGGGTTCTTGGTCACCTCCCTGACCAAGGCCCTTCTCCCCCGATCAGTTTGGCAGGGCGGCCAGCTCTGGGAAGAGTCTTGGTGATTCCAAACTTCTTCCATTTAACAATGATGGAGACCACTGTGTTCTTGGGGACCTTCAATGCTATAAAAATTGTTTGATACTCTTCCCCAGATCTGTGCCTCGACACAATCCTTTCTCGGAGATCTACGGACAATTCCTTCGACCTCATGGCATGGTTTTTGCTCTGACCATGCACTGTCAACTGTGGGACCTTATATAGACAGGTGTGTGCCTTTCCAAATCATATCCAATCAATAGAATTTACCACAGGTGGACCCCAATCAAGTTGTAGGAACATCTCAAGGATGATCAATGGAAACAGGATGCACCTGAGCTCAATTTCAAGTCTCATAGCAAAGGGTCTGAATACAGGTGTATTTAAATAAGGTTTTTCATATTTATTTTCTAAAAACCTGATGAAGGAAAATAAAATAAAAATCCATTTTAGAATAAAGCTGTAACGTAACAAAATGTGGAAAAGGGGAAGGGGTCTGAATACTTTTCGAATGCACTGTACATAGTGTCATAGCGTGTTAGGGCGCTGGGTGTAAAGTGTTACCAAATAAAGATATACAAAACCTTGCAGAGAGCATATCCACCTGACAATCTCTTAGAAATAAATATAAACTATTACAACCAAGAGTTAAAAATAACTCATGTTGGAGCATAACTAATGAAATTAGTTAAAGAAAATTTATGCTTAACCCAGTATAAACTAATATATAGAATGTATTATACAGTAGCCAAAATTCACAAATTCTACAGCACAACAGCAAGAGTTATGCCTTAAGTGTAAAATTAACAATAACCCAATAATCCATGCTTTCTGGAAATGCTATAAAGTCCAAAAGTTATGGGCGGAGCTAGAAAGATAGCTGTTAGAAGTACACTGCTCAAAAAAATAAAGGGAACACTTAAACAACACAATGTAACTCCAAGTCAATCACACTTCTGTGAAATCAAACTGTCCACTTAGGAAGCAACACTGATTGACAATACATTTCACATGCTGTTGTGCAAATGGAATAGACAACAGGTGGAAATTATAGGCAATTAGCAAGACACCCCCAATAAAGAAATGGTTTTGCAGGTGGTGACCACAGACCACTTCTTAGTTCCTATGGTTCCTGGCTGATATTTGGGTCACTTTTGAATGCTGGTGGTGCTTTCACTCTAGTGGTAGCATGAGACGGAGTCTACAACCCACACAAGTGGCTCAGGTAGTGCAGCTCATCCAGGATGGCACATCAATGCAAGCTGTGGCAAGAAGGTTTGCTGTGCCTGTCAGCGTAGTGTCCAGAGCATGGAGGCGCTACCAGGAGACAGGCCAGTACATCAGGAGACGTGGAGGCGGCCGTAGGAGGGCAACAACCCAGCAGCAGGACTGCTACCTCCGCCTTTGTGCAAGGAGGAGCACTGCCAGAGCCCTGCAAAATGACCTCCAGCAGGCCACAAATGTGCATGTGTCTGCTCAGACGGTCAGAAACAGACTCCATGAGGGTGATATGAGGGCCCGACGTCCACAGGTGGGGGTTGTGCTTACAGCCCAACACCGTGCAGGACGTTTGGCATTTGCCAGAGAACACCAAGATTGGCAAATTCGCCACTGGCGCCCTGTGCTCTTCACAGATGAAAGCAGGTTCACACTGAGCACATGTGACAGACGTGACAGAGTCTGGAGACGCTGTGGAGAACGTTCTGCTGCCTGCAACATCCTCCAGCATGACCGGTTTGGTGGTGGGTCAGTCATGGTGTGGGGTGGCATTTCTTTGGGGGGCCGCACAGCCCTCCATGTGCTCGCCAGAGGTAGCCTGACTGCCATTAGGTACCGAGATGAGATCCTCAGACCCCTTGTGAGACCATATGCTGGTGCGGTTGGCCCTGGGTTCCTCCTAATGCAAGACAATGCTAGACCTCATGTGGCTGGAGTGTGTCAGCAGTTCCTGCAAGAGGAAGGCATTGATGCTATGTACTGGCCCGCCCGTTCCCCAGACCTGAATCCAATTGAGCACATCTGGGACAGACTGTTCAGGAGTTGGCGGATGCTTTAGTCCAGGTCTGGGAGGAGATCCCTCAGGAGACCATCCGCCACCTCATCAGGAGCATGCCCAGGCGTTGTAGGGAGGTCATACAGGCACGTGGAGGCCACACACACTACTGAGCCTCATTTTGACTTGTTTTAAGGACATTACATCAAAGTTGGATCAGCCTGTAGTGTGGTTTTCCACTTTAATTTTGAGGGTGACTCCAAATCCAGACCTCCATGGGTTGATACATTTGATTTCCATTGATAATTTGTGTGTGATTTTGTTGTCAGCACATTCAACTATGTAAAGAAAAAGTATTTAATAAGATTATTTCATTCATTCAGATCTAGGATGTGTTATTTTAGTGTTCCCTTAATTTTTTTGAGCAGTGTATTACAATGTAAACGTACTTTTAATCCGTCAGTCTGCATATCTCAAAACATGGTATATGGCGGCGTAGTGAAAATACCCAATGGGCTGGATAATTATTTTCTCACTCATCTTGAAAACAAGTGTACTTAACTTGAAAATCAATCAATCCGCCATCATTAACACAATTGGAAAATCAAATGATTTATTATTGAAATATTGAAATAGCAAGGGCAACCAAGAAAAACAAATTGGTACAATTTAAGACCATGTGGCAAACAATAATGCAGGCACTAGGGATGGGGGTGTGAGCATGCGGGTCTAGGCAGATGAGATGTAGTCGTTGTTTGTGTCTAAGTTGTTGTTCGTATGTGATGTTTGTATCTGGTGTGGGGAATATTTTTTTAAATAAAAAATACATATATAAATACAAACAATTGTAAAGTCTTTCTACACACTACCACAACACATTTTTCCAATCTGGGAGTATTCCTTTGGCAGAAATGTCTAACCATGGGAGGCAAGCCCCCCTGGGTTGCTACTCTATGTACTTGTGGAAAACACTGACTACCTAGCCTATCTATCCTACACTGTTAAAACCTATTCATTGTCTGAATAGAACATCTAGAACTATGTTTTTTTGTGTCCAAATGTTGATCATTTTTGCGTTCGTTACAGTCAGTGGTTACCTTGAGTTGACGTCCCCGTGTCCAAGCTGGCCATGCTGACCGTAGCCAAACGTATAGACATCCCCATTCTCCATCAGCACCACTACAGAGAAAAAAAATAACATTCCATAACGTCATCATTACACATTAAATACCACATTACATTACTAGTCTGAATGTGTTGTGCACGTTTCATATGTTGCGTTATTTTCCTATATACAGTCATGTTACAGAGAGTATTGCTGTCTTACGTTATACACAGAATTTCAACTGCACGTGTTTAACTGTCATTGAAATGTTAAGCGCTTCCTTTGCTAAAAACAGTATTAAAAATTGATTTGATAAAATATTTAATTTGGCCTTTACTACTATAGCCCAGAGAAATGCAATGAATAACACATTCATAAATGGCAAAAAAATAAAAAACAGTAAAAAAATAAATAATGAAAAACAAGGTTTTGAAGTGTTTGTCCTATATCTAGGAGAAAGCTCAGGAACAATATACAGTACCAGTCAAAAGTTTGGACACCTACTCATTCAAGGGTGTTTCTTATTTTTACTATTTTCTACATTGTAGAATAACAGTGGAGACATCAAAACTATGACATAACACATATGGAATCATGTAGTAACCAAAAAAGTGTTCAACAAATCAAAATATATTTGAGATTTCAGATTCTTCAAAGTAGCCACCCTTTGCCTTGATGACAGCTTTGCACACTCTTGGCATTCTCTCAACCAGATTCATGAGGAATGCTTTTCCCAACAGTCTTGAAGGAGTTCCCACATATGCTGAGCACTTGTTGGCTGCTTTTCCTTCACTCTGCGGTCCAACTCATCCCAAACCATCTCAATTGGGTTGAGGTCGGGTGATTGTGGAGGCCAGGTCATCTGATGCAATACTCCATCACTCTCCTCGATCACATAGCCCTTATACCACCTGGAGGTGTGCTTTGAGTCATTGTCCTGTTGAAAAACAAATGATAGTCCCACTGAGCGCAAACCAGATGGGATGGTATATCGCTGCAGAATGCTCTGGTAGCCATGCTGATTAAGTGTGCCTTGAATTCTAAATAAATCACTGACAGTGTCACCACCAAAGCATCTCCACACCATCACACCTCCTCCTTCATGCTTCACGGTGTGAACCACACATGCGGAGATCATCCGTTCACCTACTCTGCATCTCACAAAGACACGCCGTTTGGAACCAAAAATCTGAAATTTGGACTCATCACACAAATGGACAGATTTCCACCGGTCTAATCTCCATTGCTCGTGTTTCTTTGCCCAAGCAAGTATTCTTCTTATTGGTGTCCTTTGGGTAGGCACTAAACTACCTTCATACTTCCATTAATTGTTTTAAACCGGTACCGGTTACCTTCAGACGAGTCCTGTGACACAGAGAACACTATCGAGAATACTATCGTGTTCGTGTAAGTCTCCCCTTTCCATAGAGTGATCATAATAGTTTGTACACTACAGACGTTTTCGTGAGAAGACCGATTTCCGGTATGTCTCATGGTCTAACAAACACCACTCTAGCTCTGGCACCTTTCACTGCGACATCGGCGGATGCGGTGGATTGAGATGCATCCAGATATCTCTAGCTTAAATTAATGGATTTTGATGGGGATTTTTTTATTATGTTACAGAGATAGACTCGAGGGGGTTAAAGGGATAGTTCAATGTGGAAAAGGTTAATATTGAGGATATTGACTTGCATTGGTTTTGGGCCCCAAATGCTAAAAAGTTAGCATTTGAAGACAGTGGCCAGGTAAACAAAACCAAAGCATGGATTGTTGTCTTACCTTGTCTATAGACTGCTTATAGGGAAAGGAAAGCTAAGTCCCACCCCAGAATTTTGGGCAACCAATCACAGTGGATAGGAACTGTTGCTAACCAACCTTGTGTCCGACGCCCTCAGACAAGCTTACGCTTCAAACACATGGAAGCCTATGAGGGCAATGGCAAACGGGGAATTAAAAAAAAAAAATCAGAAAAAATGGGTTTAAATACATAAATAACTGAACAGTGCACCAGGGTTACTTGCGACTGAGTCCTAAAATGCTGAGCCTATTGATGGAATATTTATCTAACCTGAAATCTATCACGATTTGTTTCGGGACAAACCAGATCACTCGGAGTTCCAACGTGGCAATTGTTTACTTGCCGAGGATTATAGGCTTGAGGTGGCTTCCTTGATCACGCAGGTCCCCAGCCTACGTAAGAAACTGGGGAAAAGGCAGTGTAGAATGTTTACATTTTCTACGCCGGTGGCTATACGGCGTTCGCGCTTGTTGGATGCATCTCCGCCTTGTCGTTTGTCGTTCTCTGACTGGCCTGTGTTGCCCGGAGCTCCCCCATCTGATTGCGCCGTCGAAGGAGCACAGCATGAGGAAAAAGGCAATCAACGATGGTCGCATGTCATGAGCCGTGGAAGCCGAAGACAGCGACCACCCGCAAACAGTCTACACTCCCAACGAGAGGCCCTGCGCGGATACAAACAACAAATAGTTTCACCGTCCTGGAGCCTAATCTTCCTGCACCTTCGTCACTGGGGGTGCCTGTGTCTGCAGCAGCAATGCCTACTACTACGATTTCATAGTCGACGTCTGCAACCTTCCGTCCCTGCTCTGGATCGAGCGGGGCTTCTCCATCTGTCGGAGGCCTGTGAAGTGTGGGAGTGGGCGGATTTCCATGTCCTTCTCGCCAGCCGTGATTTTGGGTAGCTCCATTTTTAAAAATGTGACCGTTCCTGGTGCAAAAACAATGTCCTATCCCGGAGCTCGAGTAAATTACATTACTAAGCTGTTCCCGAATGTACTACGTCAGGACATGGAAATCGATTCTTAGTCCATGTGGGTTTTAAAGACATTATGAAGGGCAGCTCTGAACAGTTGAAACTGGATTTTAAAGAGCTGATTGACTCTCTGCTAGACACTAACAAAAAAAAACATCAAATCTGGCCCTGTGCCTCTCTCTGAATCGTGGCGTTCAACACTTGAGCAGGATTCTTGCTCTTCACAACTGGCTATGTGATTATTGCAGCTCAATGGGTGTAACTTTTGTTGACAAATTCGATATCTTTTGGAAACAATTCACGTTTTATAAGGACGATGGGATCCACCAAAATCGTTTCGGTTCCTGGATCCTTTCACAGCATTATAAGGATGCGTTGAGACAATGACTTAGCAATGACCCAAGCCCAGCTCAGCTAATCCATACCATTGTGACACAGAGTTGTCAAAATGCTTCAGCAAATGTACATTACATCAGGGGCATCGGTAGATACAACATAAGCCCTCCTGTAGCTCAGTTGGTAGAGCATGGCCCTTGCAACGGCAGGGTTGTGGGTTAAATTCCCACAGGGGGCCAGTATGAAAAATGTATGCACTCACTAACTGTAGGTCGCTCTGGATAAGAGTGTATGCTAAATGGCTTAAAAAATAAATAAAATAAAATAAATAAAAAATAAGTTATGTCCCTCTAACTGCCCTGAATGCCTCTGCTGATCCTACAGCTATTGTGTGCAGTAAAATAACGTGCCTAAGAGCCAGATTTATACTGTTAGCACTGAGCCGGTGTGCCAAAGGAGGCAGTCCACTGTGTGCAGCTCACCCTGCAATAACATAAAGAACATGAGCACATCTACTGCTGCTAAGCTTCCCAGTAAAGCAATAAAAACAAGTAAGCATCCCAGAAGAAAAGTGCTCAAAATAGCCCACGTTAACATTTGTAGCATAAGAAACAAGGTTCATGAAATCAATAATTTGCTAGTAACAGATGAGATTCATATCCTGACTATCTTTGAAACTCACTTAGATAATACCTTTGATGATACAGTGGTAGCAACACAAGGTTATAACATTTACAGAAAATATAGAAATGTCAATGGTGGAGGTGCTACTGTTTATACTCAGAACCACTCCCTGTGAAGATTAGAGAGGATCTCATGTTAAATACTATTGAAGTAATATGGCTACAGGTTCATCTGCCTCACCTAAAGCCCATTCTGGTGGGAAGCTGCTATAGACCACCGAGTGCTAACAGTCAGTATCTGGATAACATGTGTGAAATGCTTGATATGTATGGATAGGTATGTATGGTATATATTCTGGGTGATTTAAATATTGACTGGCTTTGATTAGGCTGCCCACTCAAGAGAAAGCTTCAAACTGTAACCAGTGCGCCTGCAACCTGGTTCAGGTTATCTGTCAACCTACCAGGGTGGTTACAAAGAGTACAGGAATTAAATCATCAACATGTTTTGATCATATCTTTACTAATGCTGCAGAGATTTATTTGAAAGCAGTATCCAAATCCATTGGATGTAGTTATCACAATATAGTACCCATATCTAGGAAAAACAAAGTTCCAAAGGCTGGGACTAATATTATGTATAAGAGGTCATACAATAATTTTTGTAGAGATTCCTATGTTGTTGATGTAAAGAATATATGTTGGTCCGTGGTGTGTAATGAGGAGCAAACAGATACTGCACTTGACACATTTATGAAATTGCTTATTCCAGTTACTAATAAGCATGCACCCATTAAGAAAATGACTGTAAACCTGTTAAATCCCTGTGGACTGATGAGGAATTGAAAAATGGTATGGTTGAGAGGGGGATGAGGCAAAAAGGAATGGCAAATAAGTCTGGCTGCACAACTGATTGGCAAACGTATTGCAAATTGAGAAATCATGTGACTAAACTGAAGAAAAAGAAGGAAAAAAAACACTACAAAACAAGGATAAATTACAAAGAATGATAGTAAAAAGCTTTGGAGCACCTTAAATGAAATGTTGGGAAAAAAGGCTAACTCTGCTCCATCATTCATTGAATCAGATCGTCGTTCATCACAAAACCAACTGATATTGCCACCTACTTTAATATTTTTTCATTGGCAAGATTAGCAAACTTAGGCATGACATGCCAGCAACAATTGCTGACACTACACATCCAGTATATCTGACAAATTTGTAAAGTGAATGTGAAAGAAGTGAAAAAATTATTGTTGTTTATTAACAATGACAAGCCACCGTGGTCTGACAACTTGGATGGAAAATTGCTGAGGATAATAGCGGACGATATTGCCACTC